TTTTTTTTTTTTTTTTTTTTTTTTTTTTTTTTTTTTTTTTTTAACTATACTCTTCTCTCAATTTTTCCTCACACTACCTACCTACCTTCTGTAGAGTCTGTACTTTTTTTTCTTTTTTTTTTTTCTAATTCCGCCTGCTTTTTAACCCTCTGTAGAGTCTGTACTTTTTTTTTTTTTTTTGTAAGTCTGTATTAATTACCCCTCTCCAGGGAAGGAGTGCAAGTCCTTAAAAAACAAAACAAAAACAAAAAAACAAAACGGGCAACGGCCTCGAGACAATGCTTGAACTGATTCGTCCCAAGTAGATTCACAGTTGTTTTCACTCATCTGCTCTCAGTGGAATTTGAACTCAGGTGTGTGTTTGAACAGTTCATGGGTGTACCAGCTGAGCTACGATCGTCACGCGAATAGAACGCCCGGTAAATATCTCTGAATCTAGACTGAAAGTTGCCCCAAATACAGCTATAATAACCGGGCGTTCTGTTCACCTGAAGACCGTGGCCAATCCGTAGAAGTGTTTCGTACATTCTGTTTGCTGTTTGCTTATTCTTCTGCGCTTTTGAATTGGGTAAAAAAAGAAAACAGAAAGAAAGAATCTCGCAATGGCTTATGGTCTGATCCCATACTACTTCCGGAACAAGAATCCGTAAAAGTAACGAAAAAGCTGGGCCCGCTCCGGGCGACCCTTAAAAGAAAAAGGGGACCCCACCTTCCCCTATCCTCCGTAGGTTTCACGTGGGTTTCGGTGCTTTTGGTTGGGCGAGCGGGTTCTTTTCTGGACACAGAAATGGTCCACTTGAACGGACACTGCCGCCCCCACCCCCGTCGTACACTTGCCCTATAAGAAAAAACGGACAAACCAGCCCAACGAAACGGACACAACAAAATGCACACACACAAAAAAAAATTCCTTCTGCCCCGTTCTCTTCCAAATTCCCTCAAGCTTTTTCGGCGACCATCATTCCCTGCCCACCACGACTTCAAACGTTTCTACTTACCTCGGAAGCTTGTGCAGCGGCCTTCGTCTGCGGAATCATGTGGGATCCGGCAAAACACCATTTTTACTTACAGTAAGTAGTGTGGAATCAAACCCTTATTCTTCTGTGCTTTTGAATTGGGGGAAGAAGAAAAAACAGAAAGACCTCACAATTCAACCCGGAGTTATCCTGGCAGCATCAACCAGTTTAGCTTACGAGCAAAGCTCGAGAAAGGAAAACATCTTGACAACAGAGGAGGCGGTGGCCTCTGGGCTGGGTAAGATCTAGGAACAGAATAGGCCAATTCTAGACTGCTGTCCTGAAAACCCAGCCTGAAAAAAAGGATGTCACAGACCAAAAAACCAACACAATCCAGAAAACAAGAAAAGGCAAGCTGGGAGGCGTAGACCAATCCTGGGCCGTTAAACGTTCCCAGCCCGAAAACAGAAAAGGGACTAATCTACACAACAGCTATCCACCCACCAATCTACGTAACCAACCCACCGGAAGAACACTACTCTACCTATCCCTACCCAACATCACACTCACATAACTACCAATCACTGTCTAAGGCGACAGACCGTCCCAAGTAGGACTGTACCCAACTTTCAAGTACTCCCACCACCTTCCCAAAACCAACTGCCGTCCTCCTGCGGAAATGTTGAACCGAGTACCAGGTTCTTAGCATTATTCCTACTCATCCCAGAACCACTTGTCCAAGATCAATTTGTCCGCTGACAGTTTTGCCAACTTTCCCCCAAGGCCCCACGTTTCTCCGAACCAGGTGTTTGAGTGACCCCTTCCTTTCCTCCTCCAGTCCGCCTGGATAATGCGCCTCGATGAGGCTTTGAACATTCTCCTGGTCTGTTTATTTGTCATGTCCCTGTCTTCGAATACTCGCAGATTCCTCCCCTTCCAAACAACCTCACAACCCACCGCCCGGGCCGCTTGGGCAATATAGCCCCAGCCCTTTTCCAGTTCCAAATTCTCTGGAACACCTCCCAACAGAACCCACTCCTCATTTTATTAACCTGTTATAATGAGCTTTTATGTTAAAAAAAAAATAAAATAAAAAAAAACCAGAAAGAAAGAACCTAGTAATGGCCGGCCGTTGATGCTCGGAGTGTTTGTTAAACCACCCAGTTCAGCTGAGCCACTTTTGCAGGTGGCGGATTCCCTTTGTGCATCAAGCTTTGCGGGAACACCAGCACGGCGTTTCTGTTTCCGTTTTTGCTGGGGCCGCCAGCCGTTTTGGTCTGGTTGCCCTGAGCCTCAGAGTTTTTGAAGAGAGCCTCTGTTGTTGTTGTTGTTGTTTTTTTTTTTTTGTTTTGTTTTTTTGTTTTGTTTTTCCAAAACCGTTATAATATTTGAAACGAGGCCGGGGACCTCACAATTCAACCTGGGGATATCTGACAGCATCAGCCAGCTTAGCTTACAGGCACTTTGCCTGGCCTGGCACTTGCTCTTCTATCTACCCTTCGTACCTAAAACAGAAACTCACCTATTTACCTTTGGATCTTTTCCAACATAGTGCTCCATTCCTGAAGTGGTGGACAGCAGAAAACTCTGATTCAAAAGCTGTAGCTTGTACTACCTTGTCCTACGCTAGCTACACCTAACTACTCCTGGGACTACAGCGGCCCAGCAGACCAGGCTCAAGGGGTCTGGGTCCAAAACACCGTTGTCACTCTCCTACTTGGCCCACTGGGGCCCTACCAACCGAGTGTCCTGGTTAGATGGGTCACACTCTAGGTAATCTACAATGCCTCTAGAAACCGAGTGTCCTGGTATCTGAGAGGCTTTCCAGCTTAACCGCTAACCTATCCCTACCTTACTTCTTACAAGCAAGCTACATCAGCCACTGTGAGACCACCAGGCCTTTAGAACTGTGGAACCCCACCAAACGGTTACCCTGGGCCCACGTTTTCAGAAACCACCATCTTGCCTGGCTAGAGCCCCTACGTTGGTTAACCTTTCGCTTCCAATCGGCCCAGATAGCCTGTCTCAGCCGTTTTTTAATGGGTTAATTTCAAAAATATTGCTCCTTCCAAGTTTGGCAACAAAAATGTCGTCCGTTCGAAGTTTCCTTTGCAAAAATAGAGGTTTCGTTAGCTTTATCGGGTTCCTGTAGCTTGCCAGCAAAAATATCGCGTTTTGCCAAGTTTCACAGCGAAGGACCCCCAGGCCCCTTGCCTTAGGGACTCAGGGACTCAGTGTTCCGGCCTCAGGCACTCAGCTTTTCTTTTTCCTTTTTTTTTCTTTTTTTTTTCTTTTTCTTTTTTTTTTTTTTTTTTTTTTTTTTTTTTTTTTTTTTTTTTTTTTTTTTTTTCTTTCTTCCCCTATT